GTCTGAACAGAATTACCTAATTAAAATGGATCAAAACACCTAGCATAGAAGGCTAGTTCGCAACTCGGCCTTGGAGTGCTTCGGAGTTCAATTTAGAAGCCTTGCAGGTCCAACGGAACTTCGATATTTAATGCTGTAATTAGACGGCTGAAGGATTTTCCCACGCTAACTGATGCTCCTAATCCTAATTGACAGAATGACAGGTTAATATCATAATGTCTGATCGTTTGCCTTAACACACAAGGGTCGAAATGCACAGCATCGAACTCCAAGACCTGGGGTAGGATTATGGTTGGCTGACAACAGCACACAAGCCAGAAGCGGCTGTTGAAATATTCCTGTTCATTGTCGTATATGCTTTGCATTATTAAAGTACCCCTAACTGACTGCCCTACTTATACCACGAGTTTTTAAGAATTCAAAATCTCCCAAGGAACTTTATTGAACACTACGCGAAAAGTGCGTTTCCTACAAGAGCTGCAAACACGGAGCTGTAGGAGAAACGAAAATAGCCATCTTCGTTTTGTAATTGGGGCAGATTTTGGCAACACCATTTAAATTTTTCGCTACCCACTCTCAATTGCTGTTAACAGGATGTGGGTCCGATGGCAAGTTGGTGTACCGTCTGACCCAAATGTTCGATGGTTAATTGACGCGGAATCAGGTCTCTGAATTTTCAGCCTACTGCAGATTGTAGTTTGCTGACAACTATATTAGAGACGTAAATTCTCGTTCAAGTTCCCATTGCTTTTGTTGACAACAATACTCAATTGCGTCAAATATGACTATCTCCACGCCTTCCTGAAAGATTTCCTCGGTGCTAGAATGCCTGCATCCCATCAACTTGACCTCTTAGAAAGATCTTTTTTATCACTGTGGCTACTGAAACAACTTTTTTAAAAATTCTTAACGCTTTTAACTTTCGCAGGATTTAAAAATCAACCTGATCAGTAAATCTGATTCATTGTATTAGGCATGATTTCCGTGTAAATTAATAGTGACATCCAGTTTTTCTTACATCGAAGCTGCCTTATACATTTTCTTTCACAGAAAGGCAGTATTCACGAAAACTGTTCAGTCAATCTTTGTAAAATAGTGAGAACAAAACTTTGTACGCCCAATCTTAGTTCTATGTTCGACTAGAACAAATTTTACAAGTGGTCTAAGGGATCGCTTTAAACGGCTTCCGGCCATGCAGCTTGACAAACCGGCGATATCCGTGCCATATGCCTTAATTCCCTAATTCCTAGTTCAAATCTTTCAAAATTTGTGGTTCCTCACTAGGGTCTGTCAGATCGCAAAATGTGAAGCCCTACTTTCCCCTTTGACTGCAGTTCTAGTACGATGAGGGCCCTAAAGTTCTTTGCGTATAGCAGTAAGCCTTTGAAGCGCCGTTTAGTGGTACCAACTGAGGGTCAAACTCAAGGTTATCTTGCAGGACTTAGAAAGGGATAGATTTTTGTGGCGTCAGTACCTGATGCATTGGATCGAATTCTGCACGAATCAGAAATGCAGGGTTCTTCTCGACCGCGGCAGTCGAATTCTCACAAGATTGTTCATTCGAGTTTGCACAGCTCAAACTGTCGCAGCTGGTACTTCTAGAGAATGAAAAAGAAGTCGTTTATTTACTGGTTTAAACACAACTTGCTATCAAAACCATCTGAAACGCGGGAGGTTTTCGACCTCTAATAATCCAGACGAAAGAGTGAGTGCTATTGATGATAGGCAGAGTGCAGGGCTCTTTGGGAGATTACCAGCGGATATGAGGACGCAATTTCAACGATCTCAAAGGAATACATATATATATATATATTTAAAACAGGCGTGGGACAAATTATTCGGTCTGTCAATTAGTAATATTCTTAGATATGATGTCGTTCGTAATGTCCATCCCCATGGCGCGGTCTGTTACCCTCAAAAGATACGTGTTAATTTATGCGTAGGTACCTTCAAAACATTCGCAAATAAACGCGAAAACCTCGAACTCATTCTGAAATTGTTCGGGTTCCATCAACCAGCCATGGTGTCATTTGAAGGCGAAACATAAGAACAGACCAAGGGAACTACAGTGGGTTTCCCGTATCCCGTAATATTTTTCGACCAAAAGTAAGCTGAATTCTGGTACTGATATACTGCACGTTTGGAATGCTTGCCAGACGTGGCTGTAATTGCCAATGAAAGATCACAGGTCAGGCATCAAGAGGGATAGACTTGAAGAAGGAGACACGATCGCTGGGGCAAGAGTTTCATTAGCCTGACGTTTCGGATTCCTGCTCGAATCCATCATAAGAGACAAAAGCAGATATGGGTGGTTCATTTACAAAAGGCTGCAGTATTTATAGGATGCAGTCGCCGTGCTACCACATACCTATGAATATTCACGGCTCCCCTCCCCCCTTCGTCAGGGATCGCTGAACTTGGTGTGCTGACTGTTTGATGGCCGACATTCGCGTCGTTAATGGCGGCAATTTCATCACGAGCGTTGAATGTTGGTGTGATGATTGCTGGACCATCTGATCCACCGACCCTGGCGTTGGGAAAAGTGTTCACCTGTGCGCTTCCCGTATGGCTAATTATTCCGCTAGGGCTAGACTCAAAAAACGCCGACAAAAAATTGCTCGTGTAGAGGCTTAACTAATTGACTTAAGTCGCTGTCGCTATCCTGGGGTCGATTACGATGTCGATTGCATGAGCACAAATATAGCTGAGCAAATTACCACCATACGTGACTGAAAAGTGAACCTGAATACCGAGTGAACCGCGTCTGCATGGACCAGTTTATTGGCCTTTTCCCGACTGGGTTGGGATGCGACCGAGTTACATCAAATGGGGGGGTGGCATTGATGCACAACATGCTTACCTCCGTCTGTGTCGGGTATGCTTGGGTCCGTATCTATTGATATGCGTGTGACAGACATTAGATGACGGTTTATCTCATACCTGTCACCGCACCCAGAATATTCAGAAGGTGTTTTGACAGACTCATACAAGACTATATTATCGTAGCCACGGCCCTAAATGCCAAAGAGTCACATGCAAGCCCCTAGGTGACCCCAACTAATTCAATTCGTTTTCCCAATAATCCTAGTTCAGCGAACAAAAAGGGGAGAACGTGCGCTTTAAAGAGCTGGTGGTTATGTCGTCTGAGGGTTTGCTCGGGGAGGCTAAAGACGCCGTTTAATTTCTATATGTAACAATGACCACTCCCCCAATTTCCCTATGTCTTCCGCCAGAGTGATCTCGATTACTCGTGAAGCTTTGAATGCTCATTCTTCTCCAGATGGTGGGTAACCGCTCTGGATGTCGAAGGACTACTTCATCGCAATGTGGACATCGGTTAATGGCCCGGCCGACGCCAACTTTTGAGCACAAAAAGCTCATGGCAAATGTCGACAAGACTTCTATCGCAGCGTTAGGAGATTTTTAATCGTATAGTTTCCGAGTCAACGACAAGATTGACGTCCAGATTACTAAGACCAGTGAGAGTTTTCGTAGGTAGACGACCCTCGCTATAGAATCACCGTGGCATCCTGGTCATTACAGAACTCAGGATTGTAAGGCCATCACTCTGACAACGCTACTTTACTGCGAAGAGACCTAGGGTTTCCACCAAAGTCCAACCAAAGGACTTTCAACAAAGGAAGGACTGTGTCGGTTCTGCCTGAGTCCTTATCTACTGATATACGTGTGACGCATTAGATGACGGTTTATCTCATACCAGCCACCGCACCCAGCATATTCAGGAGGTGTGAACGGGAGGGAGTAGGAGGAGAGAGAGGATGAGACAGATCCTACGAAATCCCTTTTCATTGTCAATCAGCGCTTGCCTCACTATAATATATCCGACCCGTTTGATCAAATTAAGACATGTTAAAAACTCATAGACTGGAAGGTTACCAAATCCCAAGATAACTAAATCCAATTTGACATGACCGCCCGGCCGTCGCAGTTTTTAAATGTGGATTTAAGAGCCTTTTGCTAATACGAAATTTGATGTCCCCTACTCTATGAAACCAAATTGGTTGGGGGTTGTAGCAAATTTCGTCTATAAAAGTCGCACAACGTGGAAGTGAAACGAAGTTATAGAGCGCCGACGTACAGGGGATTTACGTCCATTGGCACGTCTTGTTTTATGAATTCTTAATATTTTATAGGCGACGTGGCACGTGGGTTCGTTTGGCATGTTAACCGTCGACATAAACGCGAAATTAATATTCCACTTATTGTGGAACAAAATACCTGTAGGCCTTCTTACCTTCGGTTAAATAATTTCTCGGAAGACTGGGAGGACTGGCACTGAAAAGACGGGGCAGAAGACGCACGAGGCACATTCTGGATTCGCAAATCAGAGATTTTGTTTCCGTCTTGACAGCGGCCTGCGTCTGAATTAAGGCATGAATAGATCCAAGTCATGTATGTTAGCTGATTACTAAGAGGTCACGGAACTCATGGCGTCATCAAAGGTTTGCATGTTTCATCAACTTTGCCTCACTCAAATTCATTCCAGGAAAACAAGCATTTCGTTACCTTGTTGGCGAAACGAGGGCTAATTATGTTGTACTCGCTGTACGGTCCGCTATCAGCGTCCTGTCTGCACACTCGGTCGAGGCCGAACGCCATCCCGGTTTAAAACGATGAAATCTCGGGCGGCAAAGTGATGGCCAAAGTCTAATGATTTTATTCTGCTAACTTTTATCACTCTGAGAGACCTTCTGTTTCAGGACTCTGTAAATTCCTTTCAAGCACTCACACAAACGCATGTCAATGAAAGGTTTTAAGACGTCGTTTAAAAGTTGGACGGACGGCACTGGGCAGGACACGGAAATAGGAGCCCCCATAATGCCGTTGGTCTTGCGCCTAATTCGAGGGAGCTTAAGATTAGGTTTAGAACACGGAATGGTAAAATTCCTGGAATACAATGTAAGATCACCAGTATCACATGGGTGGTCCCCATTGGCGTGTTGCATACAGTGCTTACATTATTATTTAACTAAGGCTGACTATTTTTTCTGCGGGTGATCCTCGGGGTTATGATCCTTTACGCAGTAATTGTCTGTGCAAGAATGGTCTGAACAGCAGTTAGGAAAGAAAAACTCCACCTATCGAATTTTAAATGAGAAAAGTATACCTGAGTGTACATGGTTATACTTACCCATTGATACATCCTTATTTTCTGCCGGTTGAGGAAAATGAAATTTACTGGGGGAAATGCCCTCATTTTCAGTGGAATACCCTTCGAAACACTGAAATGAAAAGGTCAAAATATGTGTCACGCGCTGTCGGTGCGTGTAAATAGACTAAGGTTAGAATATTCTTACGAGTTTTTGATGTGACAATGAGTGCTAATGTTAATACCTGGTGGCTGGCCCCTTGCCTCCAACTACTAAAAATAAACCATAGATAGACAAGACATCCTGATTCAAGCTACAGACATGTAAACGGTTTACCACTCGCATAACACTGCAACAAACTCTATTTTTTAGGGTTGTGTGGTGCTTACCTCCGCTGTCTTTGTCGTGTCAATGATAATGAACAGCCCTTTTATGACCCCCACCCTTAGTTCAAAAGCATGACTGGGGATGAAAAGGGTAACATTTCTCGGACAGACATAAATGAGACCGTAAGAAAAGATGATGGCGATGATCAGGAAAACATATTAAGACCCTCGACTGCATCGTGACTACGTTTACTGATAACTGGTTAACTGGTTGCTGTACCAAATTATCTTATTAAGTAAAATGAATCGAAAAGATACTGCGCAATCGTGATTTTACAAAAGCGAAGCACAATAAAGCATGTATGAAACATTCTCGGAAGCCTTCGATCATCACGCCCTGACTGCGGGTTTTTATCGATTTTTAAAATTTCGGTTTTCCGGTAACCGAAACGTTCGTTGAAATTGCGTACTTTCCTAAACACGACTCTTTTCCCTTACCATACACAGTTTTACTCTCCATGTCCGATGGCAAACTTCCGTTCGAGTGCTCCAGGTTTGCTCGGAAAAAAAATTAAAGGCCATGAGGGAAATACGAGGTTTAGTGGAAACGGTACAAGCACGCGTGTAGAATTTCACCTGTGTCCATAATGAGCGATAACAGAAAATCAAACAGAAGAACAGCAAAAAAGACAACGATCAATTTGTTTATGGAAAAAAAAGCCCCACCTTTTGTTCGGGCAAAGAAAAGAAAAATTTCCGATGGAAAGTGAATTCCGCTGCTATACGAAGAATGTGATTGTCGACATTTTTTCTAACTTGCTTTGTGACGAAGGAGGTGTGCGTTGGATGAAATTTATAAAATGTGAGCATTATCGTCAGTTATGGATAGACGCACAAGTGGAATGAATTTTGGAACCAATAAAGTCGACATAAAAATAAATGTGGGAGATATCTGGCCTAAAAATGGAACACTATGAGAGATCTTTCATATGACATCATTTGCAAACGTTAGTATCTCTCGGAGACAAGTTCGGCAAACGGCCTGGATCAAGCTCATCATTTTGGATGGATATCTCAGTGAGTCACCGAAAGATAAAATCCAACCTGGAACCTAGGTTACCCTGCAACTCGAAACTCTCAGATAACCAGGAGAGTGGATAGCAAAATCCGGGCGGATAAATCAGTGGAAGTGAAAGAAGTCAAATAATGACTTTCGCTTCTCAGTTATTCATGTGGGCTTGCTAGGGCCATCGTTACCGATTAGAGCCGAGCACCATATAGTCGCCCAATTTTCGAAAATAATTAACTACTTATAAGTTCTACTGTTAGTAGCGTTTTATTGGAGATATTCATAAGGGGTTTCCCAACGCTTCAGCCTCCAGTGTGTCTAAAACGCGTTTTTTAGTAATAAACACATAACAACAATGTTTGAAAAGCTGAACCTAGACCAGTGTGTGAGGGACCGACAACTGACTGGCATATTCACACACCCAATTAAAAGTTTTAATGACCGGAAGGACACTTTGTTTCCGTCTCGCATATGGTAATGACTTCGAATACGCCACTCTTTTTCTGGTGCTGTTCTTTTAGAAAGTTATTTGCAAGAATACTTCAAAGTCGAGGTTTGAAAATTAAAGAAGACAAGTTTTTGATAGTTCGGACAGAAATATATCTAAATATGAAGAGATCAAAATAGCGAATGAGTAAACATTTTCCTAAAGCACATAGCTCTAGACTAACTACTAAGTCAAGTGAAAGAGAATTTTATTCATTTTAGGGTGCGATTTTCAAAGTTGTTAAAGCATCGATCAGGATTTCCCAAACTGCCATAGCCATGAAGTCCAGATCACCACCGATTGGAAATGTACTGTGTTAATGGTAAGATCGCTCTTACAGAAGCAGAAAACCACTTGAACTAATTTGCGCTTTGATTTTATAAGAATACAAACGTTACCATGGGCTAGGTGTTACAAATTACCTCTGTCAGCGTGAAGGCTCACAACCCTAGTACATAATCCAGACACTCGGTTCATAGGATTCGAGACGGTCAAATATGGAAAAAAATGTATCAATTCCACATATCTCCGAACTCTTCATCTTCTGAACTGCTACCTGGAACTCGCCTGTTCGCCTCTATCAGAAAGCAACTTTGCATTTCGGTTTGACATGGGAGTAACGACTCACAGGTTACACTGCTCTAAATTCCGGGGGTACTCTTTCCCGTGTCACAACATCAGCACTAACCCTTATAATCCTAACCCCCTAACCCCAACAATAACCAAACCCCCATGAAACTTGGCGCAAGGCCACATATAAAACGGGGGATTCATATGCACTATCTATATTCCTAGTATCCAAGTTGCAGCCGACGGAGTAGCTCAGCGACAAAGTACTTGATCCGGGGCCAAGGTCTTCCCAGCAAGAAGTTGGGGAATGGCTACCTGACAGCGGCAGACACCCGTGATATAGCCATTTCGGCTTCCCCTATCTGTGTCAACAAACTACTCGGCATCGGAATCCAACTGAATGAAGCAAGCCAAGGGCAAACGACAAAAGCACAAAAGGAGAACTTGCGAATCAGTGGTGGTAGCGCCCAATCTCTGCTTATATGTCTTCGCTGCCAGTGCCAGGTCAAGGTTCAACTCAACCCTTCTGGACAATTAAGCATTCACCACAGTTTCTTTACGACCAACCCTCCCGCCCCGTATAACAAAACATAATCTTGCGAGAAACGGCCTCATTTGCCTCCACACCGACATCATCCCCTCCTCTTGATCTGTCCTGCTCGGACACCTTCGGTGCCGTTACAGTGGAGACACGGACAGTTCACCGAAGGCAACTCCCAGCAGTGTAGACTCAATAACAGAACATGCTGTAGCACAGCCGCTTGCAAAAATCCAAGAAATGTTTCGCCGATATTCTGCTTCTTCCTGATACATTTGCGAGGGGTTCGGTTTATTAGTGGCTCCCCCAGCGTCCACGAATGCTTTCTGGTAAATGCTCCAGTTTTGAAATTTTAGCTTTTCGATCTCTTCAGAAATTAAGTGCTGGAGCTGGTGGATTTCAGTTCAGATCTTCATACCGACTTTTGTACGATCTCTATAAAACTTCGTCTCAACTGATTTACTCCAAAGTAGCGATCAAGTCCTGAAGAGTTTGAAAAGCCGACAAATCAATAACGGTTTGTTCACGCTGTGATCGCATATTTCACTTCCGCATTGACCAGGCCGGACACATGCAAATGCATCGCAGCTTGACGGCAGAACCCGTGCCAAGTGACCCGACCAACACCCGTCACTGCCTCTTTTTCCGCTCCAACTGTGGCCACAGGTTTAGTCAACACATGGGTCTCTTTGGTCGTGTGCGCGTGCCTAACGAATATCCCGAAAATGTTACCCGTCATTCATGACCACATTAAACTCACATACGCAATCGCCGAATGGACCTTCCCAGTCATATTCCCACAGTAATACACCCCGCCATTGACGCAGTATTCTTACATTTAAGTCTGCCAACGTCAACCGTGACGAGCGAAATATCAACCGTGGGCATGTGCACACCGGACGCACGATAGGCGGAGTCTGTACACCACAGCAGCCGCCGTGCCCAGACTTGTCACCAGCCGACCGAGAAGCTCGGACAGGTCACTTCTGCACGTGTGTGGGAATTGGAAGAATGAAGTCGATACAGTGATATCACTCCTTATGGTAATTCAGCGCATTCATTACCAAAATAAGTGTGACGCGTTGGTATCTGCCAATAGGCATTAAAAGTCGTGGCTTTGAAGACTTTCGTTCAACACGATACAGGCAATGACCAATCTCATGAAATTTTGGTCAACATTTTGAAATGCATTTCCGATTAGAAAGGATTACTTAGGTGGAGTTGCAATATTGATTATCATGCGGCATAATCCCATGATATTTCGGGATTGCCAGGATGATGGCTTTGAATGCGCTTGCTTTCGCCCTCCCTTCACTAGGTAAACTATGGCTGCTCAAGTAGTTTGCATTTGTCATATTGATTTTCGATGCCCTTATAAATACAAGTATATTTTATATAACAAAATGCACGAAATATACTTTCTTTTACCAACCGGTAATAAATCTCGTCATCTTTACATTTTGTACTCAAAGAAAAAATACTTCCTGGTCTTAAAAAATTCTTTTTACGAGATTTCCTAATGATCGCGTGATGTGCACTAGTACAGCATCGTACCTCTACGTTTATTAATGCCTCAGCTGATCTGGCTCAAAATTATTCGGAAATTGGAAAACTTTACAAAACCTGAATATACCCCTTCTTTGGGCGTAGGACGTAAAGACGGTATTTTCTACCCAGTGAATAAAGGAGAACATATTTTGTGCCTAATTTCTATAAAATAAATTTGAATTTATAAGGGCATCCAAAATCAATGCGAATAATGTATACCACGTAGGTAGTCATTTTTTACCAAGTGCGCTTTATAGAATCGGTCGAAAAGAAGTGCATCCAGAAGCCAGCATGCAAGCGTGTCTGAAGTAACACGGGACTATGTCGCAAGAGAATTAACATTGCAAACTCTCTAGATAATAATTTCTAATCGAAAGCTCTTTTCGGCATTTCGGCCGACATTTCATGAGATCGATCACGGACCATAACTAGGTCCTCCCCCGGAACGAGACCCAGGCTGCTATGACCTCCTCATAATGTGACCTTTACGACACTTTCGACCATATTATTATTCTCGAGACACTTAAGAGCCAGCCGTGTTTCACGCCTGCAGGTGCCACTTCGTCAATCACTGTATCCCCCCCTCCCTCTGCGTTCGTCCGGATTTCGCTTCGCCATCGGAACTGGGTGGGAGATGGGGGAAAGCGAGGCGTCCGCAACGCCAGTTTGCTTCAGCACTAAGACATTCGTGCAAGTTAGCCCTACCGCCTAGCTAGGGCAATGATGGCCCACATCGATGGCACTGAATGACCTATCGATCAGCATTGTAAATGATCACAGGAGTCACTGCTTTCACTACAGATGACTAAAAGTTACAATAGTTCATCGGCTTTACAAGTCGCAATTTTCCACACAAAATCCTGAGAAAATTGCACACTTTGTAAAAGCTCCAGCAGGTGTTAGACTTCCTTAAGTGCGCGAAAACTTCAAAGCAAAAACCTTGAAAAGGGAATGGGGAGACCATCCAGTTTTGGCCTTCAAGGGCTTTGTTTAAAGTGTGATGGTGTTCGTATAAGAATAGGGCTCGGTGTCGTGACTATTCGCTGTCGTTTCGATTAAATAAACACGAAATTCATTGCGATCTGTTTCCTTTTTTTCCGCAGGTCGGGTGTAACCTTTTTTCGACGAACACGCTGATATGGATTCCGCTTGAAGCTGTCTTTTTGAACGGGGGTAGGGCCTAATTAGGAGAAAGTTAGTCATCAAAGCTGAACCCTGACATGCGATCTAGAAGCTGTCGTGACGATCTGAATGAACAGAAGATGGCATGTGCAGCTGATAATATTCTTTGTGGAAAGGGCATATGAGATAAAACTAGCATTCTTTGCTGCCCTTATGTTATGAGAGTTCACTATCCCATTTGAACATCTGGAAAGGCTAGCATAGTGCAAATATGGTCTTTCCTATGCGTTTCTCAAAAAGCTGAGAAGGCTTATTTTAGGAACAACTATAGAATGACAGTGGTTATCTGAAATTAATATCAATTTACGGTCGTTTTTCAGAAGACTTCCTGCGTTAGTAAAACAATCCTTCACAAGAGACTGATGAATCACGAATGAGGGCAAAATTTCGAGTACTTCACTTACGCAAACACCAAATTAAAAACCGATTAAAAATTAAAGATCACTGTAGAGTAATGTATAAACTCTCGTGTCAAAACTGTCCTTGTTACTACACAGGCCAGACTGGACGCAACCTCGGATCGCGCATACACGAATATAAGCTGGCTGTGCGATGAGGCGACGCAGTATCACAAGTGGCCGACCGCACCTACGAAACGGGTCATATGTCTAACTTCGCAGCCACCGAAATACTCGCCCACGCCGGCAACAAAACGAGTCGAGAATTAATTGAAGCCTCGGATGAGAACTCAGTCAACCGATTTATCGATCTGGCGTCGGCGTACAGATACCTGTGCGGTCACCTCCAGTCTTGCGTCGTTGGTCAATGATTGCTTTACACACCATATAACTGGCCCTTGTTCTGTTGCTGCTACTTTCTCTGACGAACTCCTGCAAGCGTTCAAAGGCTCAGAACAATAAACAATCTGTTCCGATGCCTGACCGCTCTTGCTTTTCGCCACTGATGAATCAGTCAGTTTAAATAAAATCGATTATGGTATTGTTACTGAACAAAAGTGACGGTCTTATAGAATAATCAAGCGACGACTGCATTATACCACGAAAAGGACATATGGACAACACCTAAAATTTTGTCTGCCAAATTCCCGCTTATCTGGGAATGGGAATATACCGAATATATGCAGAAAACGCCTGTGGTCAGGCTAGTTGGACAAATACAGAAACGGCGCCTCATGTGCAAACACATAATCTCCTTTATTCAACTATAGAATATTCTTTAGATAGTTGTTATTCTGCCGAACTTAAGGATACTCCTTTATGAACCTCAAAACGCTAGAACACTCTCGGAGCGTTAAATAATAATTGTACAAATGGCTAAACATTTGGCTTTGCTGTGTTAATTGAAAACTCTCGAGCTCCCAGCATTTTGTTATGCATCAGGCAAACACTAATCCCCGATTTTTCCTTACGCTTGTACTAATGATTGCACATACCATACGTTTTTAATTAATACATGGTTGTTTTTTGTTTCAGCCGTCAGGAATAATTTAAATATCTACTGTTTTTTTCCATTCGTGATTCGTGGCTGGGGTGACAAGGGGCAGTTAAGAAGCCGTGGCGCATTTCTCGACGTCAATAAAACCTTCTTTTTAAATGTACGCTTACTCAGCGTTGTTTTGCCAAGTATCTCCACGCTAACCAATCTCTTTTCAGTGCCGGTGAGAACAGCTACTCTTGATTTGTTTTCGACTTGGAACGCAACCCTTTTTCGAGCAATTTCAATCGAAAAAACCAAGGAGTTCGAGGAATACTCCTACCTGCCACTGGATATCGAACTTTGGGCTCTGACAGTCTGAGATTATTTGTCAAGCCACCGCGAACTTTACCTATCCTCTAGTTTTTTTCTTCTAGATCCGACGTGATCAAAAGTAGATGATTTTGCTGAAATAAGCAAACCGTCTCATTTTGTGAGCACACCAACTAACAGCTCAAAAGAGACTAGGAATAGCAACGAAGCTCAAAAGCGCCACGTAGAATCCCACCTATGGGTGAAATCCCTGTTGCGAACTTTGTGTCCAATTCCCCCACTTTTAATCAGTACTAAGATTGACTATATGATAAGCATTCTGCGTTTATTCGCTTTCGCCTGGAGAGGCTTATCTCTGCTGATATTTTTGCACAAACTCTAGTAAAAGGAAGTAAATTCCAGGGCAGTTCAAGATATTGAAGAAACGAAAAGCTATCAGCAAGGGTGGTTCTGGCATGCCTGCGTCCTGTCGGTCCTTCGTTTAATTAGGAGACCATTCAAAACAACAAGACAACGGGTCCAACCCACCTAGGATGCCCATGTCTTTTCAGATATCTTGATTTAGAGGATTTAGACAGTCTTGGATTGGTCGTGTTCGTGCTGGTGGTAATGTCCTATCATTTCTATTCTTAAACTGGGCGTGTTACAAGCCACAAGCAGGAAATTAAAATTATTTGACTAGAATTTTTAGACAGCAACATGGTTGCGATTCAATTTCCGTATTCCGGCGTTCTTTATTATGTCCTTTCCTAAGGGAAAATTTGGTCACAATTGCAGTACAAAGCACCACTTAAAATTGTCAGTTTTAAAACTTCTAAATCCCCTCAACCAGACATGTGCTCCTCGACCCCCTCCGGAATACCCAGAAGTGGGGAGTAACTTCATATTCATGTTTTTAACTTATCAATCTGACAAGGCCCAGTGTTCTCCCACCTCTTGAGACATATTCGAAGGTTTGTTCGTGACTACCCCACCACCGAAAATAAGAGAAGGCAAACCATCGGTTCGAGGAGGTTTCATATATTTGGGGTATAGTTAATGAGCCTATTTGAATAAATTGACCTAGTGAAAAAAGAAGTTTTCTAAGGCTTTAATAATATCTTGATCTCCGCCTTACGAAATGAGTGTTTTCACCCTTTAAACTGCTCTTTATTCAAGACACCCCGGCAATAACTATATATATTTGCTCGCTACTACTTAGTGATGTTAGATTGATATGCTTCAGGAGATAAGACTTGGAGCTTGCTACCGGTGTTAAAACCTAAGAGCCCCTTTATTCCGAAATACTACAAACGATATAAGAGCTCGAACGGTTACTGTTTTTCTCATAAATAAGGTCAACCTGGGGCATTTTACCCTTTATCGCTTCACTCATTTATGCTTCACATGAAAATGGCCTGCATCGAGCTAGTTGATCTTAGGCTGTGAATGAGCATTTGAGCCTTGTCCTGAGCCCGAGGAGCTAAAACCCACGCAGGCTGTTACACGTTGACTAGCAACCAATAAATGAGAAACATTTGATGACAATGGACTGGCCACCTCAGTGATCACCGGCCAGTAGTACCAATGCCTGGACTGAATGTTAAAAATTTGCATATGACATGACAAATAAGTTCGAAAGGGCAATTCTAGCGCTCTTGTCTTTGCCAGTAAAATATCTTGACTGTTTCGATGATGGAAAAATTCTGAGACTTTATTCGGTGTTACGGCAGTTTTGCGCTATAAAGAATGTGAAGCTTCAAAAGGGAACTTTGATTCTCGAAAGTGTGGCTGTTTGGATGAAAATGGCTATATCCGTAAAACCGACTCCAAAAGCAATTTAACATATGTACAGTGGTGCACACGTGGCGCATCTGACGCAGTATCAACGGAAATTCTGAGACTTGTTTTTGATTTGCAGGGGTTAGTTACGTTAGGCTGTAATATCGATTTTCGCGCACCAAATCCCGCAATATTTCGCTCACGCCATGATGTCGGCTTTTGAATGCGCTTCTTTCCGTCTTCATGCGACGTCACACCCCCTACCAAGTATCTATTTGATCAGTATGATTTTCCCCTACTGATTTTCGATACCCTCAAAAATTTACCTATGTCTTATTGAAAACATGCAAGAAATATGTTTTGCACCTACTTGGCAGGAAATCACGACTTCTTCGAGTCGATTACTCGGATAAAGGTAAGCTTTCGGGTTAAAAGTTTGTAACCTGATTTTTGAGAACCTTGACATGTCGCTCAAATACCATTGCCTTCATCTGTTTACAAATGAGCTTTCTGAAATATACAACATGGTCCATATGTTTCTCCAGATTTTATGAACCCTGCATGGTACATTCTCAATAGCATGGAAGAATGTTTATAGTTTGAGATCCCTAGGCGCAAATACAGGGACAGGCTGGGTCCAAAATTGTTCGCGAATTAAAAAGCATGTTCTTAACTAGATATAGCATTTGAAAAGGACATGATCTGCTGCCAATTAGTATAACAGAAAATATTTTCCGCAAAATATAAATAGAATAGCAATGTTACTTAAGTGTCAATTACAGTTTTTGGAGGCTATCGAAGTGGAATTTGTTCGAAAACCGACATCATGGCCTGGCATAAGCATCTTCTGTTTACGCTGCAGGGTGATTGATATTAAAACTTTACCCCAATAATCCTCTCCGATAAAACCGTATTTCAGAATTCTGATTAACACTTCATCAGCTAGGCCATTGACTATAGGCAGATAGAGAATTGGACTTTACCTAAGAAGTGCCATTTTATCGACCACGTTCAAACTGAAAAATTCTATTTCTTTATTTCTTTGCACTAAGATTGGTGCCCACTGTTGTTTCCTATTTGATAATTTTGTGCTACGCACGTTGTAGGTCTTTTCTCACAAAAACGCGTAGGCTTGATTTTTTGAGGAAAATGACCTCAATGGTTTTTGAAATATAATTGCGCATAGTCTGAATGGGTTGCTCTTATTAAGAATCAGTGGAATTTATTTCTCCAGGCTAGGGGTCGAGAATGCCTATTAGATAAGCCTTTTTGATAAATAATCTCTAATTTACAGTTTCACAAGCTCATATCTCTACATACAAAACACTTGGAAATTTTGAAGTCAGTCAGGTAATTGCCTAGTAGAATTTTCCTCAGTAGACTTCGCGTTTACCATTCAAGACAACACCAACTATTTAATTTAGAAATGCGGACGACATGCCGCTCCCATTAAAAATTTGGTTCGGGGTCAGAAATCTGAATACCCGCTTTGGAAGAGTCCAAACCAGAACTCCTGGTGCATCAGTTTAGGTAGCCTTTGGTTCTCAAATGAAATGGACGACGGGTAATAACATGGTGAAAAGGATGGCTACTTTGTCAACGTCATCTAACTTTGGGAAAGTTGCATGTTAAAAGTGGGCCTGATAATCGTCTCGGGAATTATAAACTGACTTCTGACCAATGGGCGTATTGTGTTAGAACTGGAGAATTCCATATGTCACAGTAAATTTGGCGAGTAATTTCAACCCGAACCAACCATCCCAAGGCTCTCAGCCATGAAAGTGTTTGGCTGGTCTGAAGCCTTTTCGATTCCAACTCGCCCTATCAGGTTGAGGCTGCAAACAAGAGCTACAATTTCGAAAATATAGTAGAAAAGATTGCTCTATGGAACTACTTATTAGATTTTCTAAGCACAGGAGTGTCAGTACTACACAATTAGATTTCGCGGCGTCACTACGAGTTCCAAGAGAGCACGATCGTTCTTGAACAATAGTGAGTATCGTAAAGGAAGACGTGGTCCTGAAAATGATTGTCTCTTTCACAGAACAGGAGGTCGGCAGGCCCCTGCCACTGATGCGATCATCTGACTAGCTGCCTGTTGTGAATTAGGTCACCCTCTCTGATAATATGATCTGCAGAGGTCGTGCAGTGAGCAGCAAACGAGACTGTCCGCAAAGACGTCAGAGGGTTGTTTATATCAGCAATCCGCAACTAAGTCACATACGTGGAATAACAAACTCGGAGGGTTATTGAGATGAATTGCCTGCCAGCCTAGGCAGGACTGCATCATTGGGCACGTGGGAGTGTCCAGGCGTCACCCACAGAAAGTTGCATAACGACTTGTAAGTAGGGCTCGGGAAACATTATTGACAAGGTGGAAAGATGCCGAATTAATTAGTCTCCGTGAATGCCACGCAAATCTGTATTAAAATATTTCCGACTGAAGCAGACAGGGTGTGAACCCACCGATCGGCAGACCGAGTTTTAAATTCCCTGTTCCTTGGACGTAGGTTTAAGTACGCGGTCACTCTGTCCCGGGGTTTGTTACAGTCGATCGATACAGTAAATAAAAGCAGAACTGGTGCTTGATGTTTCCCGCGGTCAGCGATTCGTCTCAAATATATATTAGTCATTTACATATACTTTCATTTATTCAGTAGGCAGTATATAGTTATTATTTTTGGGGGGACACAGTGTTAACCAGACATCATTGTAGGACTCGGAACGTTACCACGTCCGCGACTTAGGGCTGTTAAGAAATATTTCACAACAGAACAAACGGTAAATTAAGGGTAAAACGTCACTAGTATGTTGCCTTTGGTGGACCAACTAAACGACGGCTAGAAAACTATAAACTGAACCCGAAATACTTGGATTCACAGTTTGTCGTACGGTCGCTTTAAAGGATCAGACTTTGCAGAAATCAAACCGCTTTAATAAAATCTCTCTTTTATGCCTGGAGGCAGTCGCCCAAAGTACCTAACTCCCTCCGGAAGTCCGCATATCTTTCGGCAACACTAAGGCAAGGCAACTGAATAAATTTTTCAATCCAAGTTTGGATCATTAGGTTTGGCCTGGTTTTGAAGGAAGTGTTCCTCAGTATCATTGTATTCTATTTAAAAACGGTTTAAAATTGAATGCAGGTGGTCCTGATCAGTGGACGAAAGGCACATGGCGTCACAGCGCTTTTATACCCCTAGTAAGCGACAGAATTACAGCAAATTTAGAAGCTAGATCCCCTGCTTTACATGAGATAACACCCGCCATCTGATAACTTGTTCAGCTGCAGACAATTAGCAATGGAATCTAAAGATGAATTTGGTATCCGACAAATAACGAGGGGAAGATTGCTGAAAAGCAGTCTTCTGTGCCGCCAGGTCCTCATAGAAAACCAGCGCATTAGTGCGGTTATTGCGCTGGACCAGTACGGGAGCTAGATCGGATTCTGGCAGGCGTTATCGGGAATGCACACCACAACAAATGCCAGCATTCTGGGTGTGGTGGCAGGCCTAGCTGCCGAATCACGTCGTGCCAACTGAGATCCCTATCGTCCGTCCGCCCGCCCCTCTCTCCCATTTTTGTTGTTGGTTAAAATCCTGTTCAAGTGTTTGTTGTGGACCTGGGCGTGGGGTGGTACGCCGGCTGTGCCAACCACCTGTGTCCTCTCCCGACTCTAGTCTTCCTGACTATGCCATGACACCGGGTCCAGGCGGTGGAGGAGAGAGCGCGGTAGATACTGCGCAGCACCTCTATCATTATAAAAGAAATGACGCACAAGTTACCGTGCCTGATCTCAGCCAGCTGTAGAACACATGCTGGCCATCCTTGGTCACGACGGTCGGACTGTCGTAGTGAGGGTCAACCAGGCAGTTTATAAGGCGTATTATAAGTATTTTGGAAATGGCTGTATGTCAGTCTGCGTTATTTCACATAAGGACCCAGTTTCTTGAAATATCTATCCACGCGTCACGCGTCCCTTGATAAAGTAATCGAAGAACACTTCCTCGCCCTAGGCCCGGGTAAATCCTCCAGAGGGGTGATTACCCGTTTTTGTGAAATCTCTCTGCTCAATGCCTGAAAAAACCAACATCTCTGAAATATATCGTTCGGTTTGTCCACTGGCATGTTTCTTTTCCATTCAGACTGATTTTACCCAAGTATAAGTCGCCGCTGTGTGGTAAATTATTACTGTCAACTTTAGACGCCTACTGAAATCATCTTATTTTTAAAGTGCGGTCCTCCAATTTCACAGCATTTTGGGTTTACAAAATCTATAATTGGAATACATCCATGCAAAAATTCTTAGGTATTCTGATTTAGTCTTGTGAGCGCTGAGTTACAGGTTAGTTCTTTGCAACGGCATAGGAAAGTTGTGAAAGAGGAACTGATGGCACCATTATTTGTACAACTCAAAGATAATGAGAAGTCAGTCTTTTTGACTATACAAAATACAAGTTTTAAGGCACCGTTAAAACCTATGTTAGGCCCAGTTAATTGCCTGTGTTCAAAACGACCTGCTTTTCTACTAAAGTGATACAACACTGCTTTTTGCCACATTAAAGATTATGAGTAACACCGGAAAGTTTTGAAACCTTGCTGTTTATGGAACTCATATTCACAAATCTGTTGAAAGTGATGGATGTTCTCCGCAACGAAAACGTAAAGTAGCGTGGAATACAAAAAATACACAGCTGAAAAGTTTTCTAACTGCCAGAATAAAGAGCAGTCCTCCCAGAATGCCGACGATCGCCCAAGTAAATCATTTATAGCAAAGGAAACTTTACGGGGGCCGGCAAGTGACCACTTAAGCAGAAAAGGACCATTTTAAGCCGCTGCCGGAAACTCTCTGATCTAATTAAAACATGTTTTTGTGGTGCGGGATGTCACGTAGGTAGCATTCGGCATAAAAAATAGTCAAAGTTTAAATCCGGTTCTTAGTCATCTATACTCCGGCAACGTACAATAAAGAATTTAAGGCTCATAAAAAGTATTTTCCTGGCACACAGAATGACCCGGGGGCGTCAGTAGCATCGGAGACCGCCGGGGATGTTAAGGGGTCCTATTCGACTTCCTACCTTTCCTGTTGACTTGCGAGCTGTCCTTCAAAAAAAGAATACTTTTCTTTATCCTACTGTTTGTCGTAGCACTTGAAATGGCACACGACAGCTGCGCAGGCCGGATGTCGGCGAAGACCAAGCAGCACTCACCTCTGCTTCCTGCAGTTGCCACAGCTGTAAACCGGATTTTCGGATCACCATGTCAGCTCCTTCTGTCTCGCGAGCGGTATGGGTCGGTCCTCCTGCCACCGCATCGTTCAGCCTCTCCTCGCCTAAAAGGCAACCAGATGACGATGAACAGAGTAACTCCATCAGCTCTACAACATGGATCACAAAACAGGCGTTTATCAACATACACACACAGCCTCATACACGCCGAAGAATATACACGCAGGCACAGGGAGAAGGAGAGCCTATATAAGGGAAGCGCTTGTTAATTTCAATTAGTGTTTAAATACATGGTCAGCAGGAAAAGAAAACAGGGAAATGTCTCTGCAATTTTCTTAGAAAGCTCCCCTTAATGAGCGCTTCCAGCTTGAAACGCGCACTCCGGTATCAATTTGGCATTTAAGGAGGGAGTACGCGGAGGAGGAAGAGAGGGTGAAAGGGCGAGAGAGGAGGTAACTGAGGGAGTGGGAGTAAATTACTTACAGGTAAAACATAACTAAAATATATGCAGTTCTGGTGTAGCGCGCAGGAAAGACAGTCAATTAAATAGGGCGGAAGTTCCTTGTCTCCTAGGGAAGAATGTTGTTCTCTTCAGTAAGAAAGTAAATCATACCTTTCGCCTGGCCTGAGCAAGCATCATAAAATGACTCATCGAAAGGGTTCCTTCTTATCAATTACGAAGTACTCGGAGTAGGAAAATCAAACGGTTTCCGTCAAAAGGAGTCAACGTCATTATGAGCTGTTATAATAAATCTTTGGTCAAATCACCTTCTATTAGGAGACCCTCAAAAACAGGACCAAACGTTCACTGGCGGCCAATGTGGGCACATTGGTTCTCTTTGACTTTGACTCTGTACTTCTTGTCAAAGTATCAGAAGAATAGGTAAACAGGCCAAAATTGCCCGAATAATGACTTGTATCTACTTTAAACTTTCATAAACCAGATAGTATTACAAGTAAGCGCGATCGTGTTTTCTACCTTGTGGGGTCTGAATGTCAGAAGTATCGTTACGTTTGCTGAGGATGAACATCGTTAAGCATTAAACGGGGAATGGTCGCAAACTGTGAACTTATCTAGCAGGTCTGGGGAAAAACAAAGAGAGTTACGGATAAAAAGCAAGAAACAGAACATGCAGAATTTCGGCGGAAATTTCCTAAATTTAAAGCGAGAAGGGCGTCAGGGTGTAACGACAAACAAGCAATCAACAGTCATCGATATTAATTCAGTGTTTAGAGTGTAATTGCAGTCGGCGCGTTTACTTTAAAAAACTTCGATCGTGTGTGGTTTTCACGAGGAACTGGGAGGGGAGGAAATCCTCTGTTGGCCACTCAGTGCAGGAAGATCTCCCAAGCCTAGGCACAAGGACACTTTACTTATCGGAAAAGATGCTGTGATCCGACGAGACTAAGGTCTAATTCGTCGGTCATACGCGATAGCACTGTAGTTAGAGGAAGCATCAACAGGCCTTCCCCTGCACAGACCGAGTGGCCTAGAGTAAGACAGGTCAAGCAATCCTTAGTGTTTTGGAGCTGATCCAACCGCGGTTCTAGTTACTTTCTTGGAAAGGTGAGTGGGAAAGCAGAGAGGGCGCGTTAGCAGCGGGTACTCAGTCGGGCTGAAAAGTCAGGCGCTAGTGCTAGAGGCGCGTTCTAACAGGCAACGGTCTTAAGTATACAGCTAAATATAAACAAGTGTCAGACATGAACTTTGCAGATTTAAGGCCGCAATACCATAACATCTCTGTTAATGCAGTCGGATAAAGCGGAGTGTCGACAGATAGCAGCACTTAAGAACTAGGTGGCTTCCGGAAAGTGGGGTTCAAGCAGTTGGGCAACTCTGCTGCGTTTCGAACTGTATAAGCCATTGAAAGTGGTTTAACTACTGCGACTCTAAGCCTATCGGAGTCCATCGTCTCTGCCCAGAACGATAGGAAATCTATTATGTCAAAAATTAATTCCTATGTAGGGCGCGTAACAACATGTCCAGGGAGAGGAAAGAAGCAATGAAAAAACAACAGAGGGGGGATGACAGTCCAGTCTCACATGTAGAAATTCTTCTTTGCAAATTATCCTCAGTACAGCGTTGACAAGCGGCCTCGTAGACAAGTAACGCTGGTCTGAAAAACCCCTTGATGATACATCCCATATGTGGGAAAAAGTCATTTGGATTGTAGAATTCCATTCGAGCGTGGGTTTTTGATAATTATCAGAAAGGCCTTTCTCCGAGGATACTAAGACTTTTTCTGGGAACATTAGTAGGCTGGGCCTGAAAAACAGTGCTATGGGCGTTTTGTGGAGGGGGAGTTGAAGACAGACGCTCGGACCTACGTGGGTGATAGCGCAGCTCTTGCGACCTCGCAACAGACGCAGAGACGTATGCAAAAATGAAATCCAGCTTGCGCCGTAGCTTCAAAGCATAGCCTTTCAGGTAAGCAATGTATTTTATTTTTACCAGAAGTGGCTAAGTGGCTTCAGTTCTTGGTCAGAGTGGGAGTTAGACCGTATTTTTAAGAGACGGCTTAACATCATCTCTTACCGTCTTCTCACTAGTAAGGTTTACTAAGCAGAGCATCCGGTGAAATTTTACTAACTGCCTAGAAATAAGGACAGTGAGAGGGCGACTTTGCAGCAACTGTCGAAGATTTGACTCAAATTAAAACCTGTATACACTCCTCTGCTCTAGATGGCCTAAAATAGTGTTCGCGGCTACGATGACTGCGATTCAACTTTTGATCCAGAGGGACAATATTTTCTGATATAAGAACTAATCACGATATATTAATTGCAACAATTAATAGGGAACAGATACTGGTATTTTCTGTTGGCGTACAATGCTGCCATATCCAAAATGTGCAGGTTGGTGCCAATGTCACTGGAGCGACTGGTAGACGAGGGAGGATGACGAATGAGGTTTGGTGACGGTCTACTTCTGATTGTACGACTGTAAATTCTTTTCGCGACTATCCAAGACTTACATCAAAGGTAATTCCATGAGTATTTTTGAACGAATGATGAATTAAGATGCATGGCGTTACACGGTACTGAAGGAAAAAAGCTCTCGAATTCACCAATGATAATTTTTTCTCGAGATTTGAAAGTCGAGAAGCTTTATCAACGGTGAGAGGTTCAAATCAATAGCCGCAGCATTCCAATCCCGGAGCCAAGTTCAGGAGAGTTTGAGCGAGCTACAACGTGGTCCACTGACTCACATGTCGAAGAACGTTCGGAGATACATGCACGGCGATGGGTTGAACAAACTTCTTCGTAGACACTAAGCCAATTAATGGCTCTCAAGCCAGGGGGGCTTCGTCCGTACTTAGCTCAGACGGTACAAGTCTACTGTATGAGAAATCTCAAATTGTGAAACATCAGGCTGAGCATTTCGGTGTTGTCCTCAACTGCTTATCTGTAAATTTCGAGGAAAACATGAGCAGGGTTCATCACCTTAAAACCGACGTAAACTCCAAACGCTCCACGCCGGAGACAATCAGCAATGCGACAGATAGATGTCCGTAGGGAAATCTCCGTACGTCGACCCACTTCCAGCGGAAATCTGCCAATGCCCTGTCCCCTAACTTGTGGACAGGCCGACTTTACCGTCCTAGAAGGTGTGATAACAAGAACAAATACCACAAGAATTCATAGGTGCATTGATGCGAGGATATTTTCCTGCCCGCTATCCGACAGTTCAGCCGTTGTGTCCACCATGTGCTCCACAGCAACGTGAGAGCAGACACAGCGGCTTGTGCGTGAATTAGTTTATAGAGTTAGTAGACTTGCGCAGCATCTACCGCACCTTCTCCTCCTCCCATGCTCTAGTCCGGTGTCAAGACAGAGTCAATAGGACCGGAGGCGGGGTAGGGCGCTTGCGGATAGCACGGCCGAGTCCGCACCTTGACGCTCCACTACACACCCCCTGGTCTACAACAAACAATACCGGAATTTTTGCCAACAACAGCAACACCACAACGGGTTAGAAAGACAAGGATGACTGAGCAGCCATGTTCACGACCTGGATGCACAGCGGGAGCGCCAGCGCACCTACCGGTAGGGAACCAGGTGCCAAAGAACTTTCGGCGCATACCAGGCTGTGAGGGCCTTGGGTTGCTGATCCTGGCATAGCAGACGCCTATACACATTTATTCTGCTATCCAATTGCCTGAACACACACCTGGAGCAGGAAGGCCTTCCTGGACTACAATGCAGCTTTTGAAGACACATGAAAACTGTAAACAGGATTTTGATGACCCATCAAGACATGAATGCCAGCTTCCGCATCATCTTTGTTGTTCTAACAGAAACTTTTGACAGCATAAACTAGGATGAACTCCGGAAAATCATGCTGAAACTCTAATGTCAGAAGGTATTCGCGTGGATGATCAGATACGCGTCACGAACAATGGGTCGGCGTCAGCAAAATTTTCGGTGGATAAGTGGGGCACAGCGCGGCTGCTTGCTCGTTCCTCACATCGGGCTAATTTTCTCCGCACATGCCGATATAAGTCTGGAATAACGAGCAACAGGTGGACCGACGGGCAGGCGCTGAACATCTAAGGTATTCAGACAAAAACGATAGTATCCAGGATGGGTGTCCACTGCGTGCCTGATGTCGTAGTGGAAGTGGGCGCAGAGCGTGGATCACTTCGGTTCCAATTGCTCAGACTGCAAGCTGATCATTAATATGGAGAAGACAGTTGTTGTATACCAACCGCCTTTAAGTCATTTAGACAATGAACACAAGGTGAGTGTCAATTGAACTGTTTAACATCTGTGAACAAATTGGCGTACTGCAGGTGTGTAATCCCAAAAACATAATGATTGATGGCGAAATTGTCAATCAGATCTCCTGAGCCGGTCAGGCCTTCAGAAGGCTGCAGCACTTAGACTGGAATCGACGTGTCGCTCTTCTTAATACGAAAATGTCCTGACTACGTTTCTGGACGGGTTGGAGACGTGGACTGTGTGCGAAGGCCAAACAAGAAAACTAAGCCACTTTAACCTCAGTTGCCTTTGGAGAATACTGATGGCGAAGCGGGCGGAGAGGAGTCCGGACATCTGAAGCCTGGAAAAAAGAGCAGGCTCAGCAGCGGCAGAGATGAGGAGAAATGACGCCAACGCGGTTGAAGTGCAAAGAGATTGCGCCAACTCTCAGGTCACGGCCCATTCGACGAGACCCGGTCACACATCCAAGTTCGATGAGGTTGAAATTCTTGCGAGAAGGAATAATCGCATGAGCCGCGAGTTGCTTGAGTCATGGTTCACGGGACCTCAGTCTATGAATAAGTGAAACGACATCCCCACTCCATATTCCGTGCTGAGACATAAGCTGGCCAAATAACTGACTCCTCGTGGAGCGCGCAAGCCGGTGAGCCAGATGGCCGAGCAATTCTCACGCCAGCATCCAACACGGATGAAGAGATTTCAGCAATTAACAACTTAGTGCCGACCATCAAGCAATTAGCACACCAGTGGGCAGCAATTCTTGATGAAGGGGAGCGCGATTAATTGCTATAGGTATGCGGTAGCATAGCGACTGCGTCCTATAAATACTGTAACTTCCTGTACACGAGTCCCCCGTTTCTGTCACTGTATCTGATGATGGGTTTAAGTGAGAATCCGAAACGCCAAGCGAATAAAGCCGTTGTTCCAGCAATCGATTCTAATTCTTATCAGCTGGTGGGTAATTTGCAAGGACTCTTTCTTATTATCGTCTTTATAGCATTCTCACGTACACGTACACTGGAATCCTCTTAAATGAGACCCGATACGTGTGGAGTTAAGAAATAATTTGTGTTAGTCTGTGTATACGACGAGTTTTTGTCCCTAAAACGAACAGCGCAGTTGATGCGCTGGACCAGTACGGGGGCTAAATCGGATTCTGGCAGACGGTATCAGGACTGCACACCCATAACAAATGCCAGCATTTGGGATGTAGTGTCAGGCCTAGTTGCCGACTCACGTCGTGCCAACCGCCCGTCCGCCCGCCCCTTCCCCCCATTGTTGTAGTTGTTTAAAATCCCGGTCAAGTGTTTGTTGTGGTGGTACGCCGGCCGTGCCAGTCACCTCTGCCTTCTCTCGCCTCTGGTCTTCCTGACTATGTCTTGACATCGGGTCCAGTTGGTGGAGGAGGAGAGAGTGCGGAAAATGCTGAGCAACACCTCTATCACTGTAAAAGAAATGACGCACAAATTCCCGCGCCTGATCTCATCCTGCTGCGGAGCACATGTTGGACATCGTTGGTCACGACGATCGAACTCTCATATGAACAGTCTAGTTGTGGTAGTCACTACACCTTCGTCCACCTCAGGCCTTCTTGGCCCGCCTCTTGACATCGGAACGCGCTAGGTGGAGGAGGACTGAATTGTAACTGTAAACACATCCCCGCGCATGTTACGGCTGCGCCCACCTCGTGTAGCAGTGGTGTACCTAGTCTCTTGCGAAGGTCGAGCTATCGTATTGAGTGGCCTCATAAAACTTTGCTCACTGTCATATAAGCAGCCTGGAAGCCTAAAGTCGTGGACATTCCTGGCCTCACAAGGCTTTATGCGGTAGAGAAGATGCACATTTTCGTTACCCGTGTAGGACAGGGTTCTCACTGACCGAAGTTAAACCTATACCATCCGGTTTACGTGCGTGTATCGAAGAACTGAAAGTCCCACGCTTGAACGTGATTGCTTCTCAAAAAGCGGGTGATTGACTTAGCCTATTTATGAACTAGGATAGTCTCCTGAAGATGGGACATGTGGCTCGTTTGTCCAAAGACAGGTAAAGGTGAAAAAGGCGGAAGTTTAAAATGACACTGAATCCAAATTATCATGCGAACTCTATGCATTCTCAGCCTAAGGGTTTATCAACCATTGACAATAGTGCACGTCTGGGCCTAGCCGAGAAAAGGGTCGCCGCGGTTGTTTCGTGGCACATCTCAAGTAGTTTAAAGGATTCCACAGTAGACAGAGGTTTGCTACTCACTTTTTGCCTGGAAATCTGGCAACAGCAGAATGGTTTTACTAAATGGGCATTTAATATACAGTCGCTTATAACACAGCGTAAGCATACTATGTCTAATTGTGGACTTCATTTAGCATTTTTCTTCTCTTCTGCGGATGCTAAAACTCTATTTCTTGCAGAAACAATTTTCTCGGGTAGTCTCTAGAGCCCACTCATTTACGCTGTCGTTTCCCACCCCATCTGGATGAACAGCTCAGAAGGAAACCAAGCTTCTTCATTACCATTACGATAATTGTTTTATCTTGGAAAAGAATGAATTCGTCCGGCGGCACTTTTGTCATTCGGTGGGCATGATTTTATTAACTCCGCTGGCGAAAAAAGCAGATCAACAAAGGAGGAGTCTTGAGTGGCCACATAATTATCACGAGAGTTTTTATCGCCCGAACAACCTCGACAAAATGCCTGGTCGACTTCTGCCGCAATTAAATAAAATTACGATGAAGTGCTAATCTTTTTAAAGTAAAAGTGAATTGTGTGAATGTGTCGTCCGGAGGTTCGTTTTGTCCTTAAATGGGTTCAGTAGCCGATAACTTCCTGGAATGCCTTTCGGTAAGCAGTCTGCATACAGGCCGACCTGACTTCGCCAATACCCCTGTTTCCACGTCTACACCAGATTTCTACATCGTTCTTGTGGCTTTTTTTAAATTCGCGAACAACAATTAGTCTCCCCATGGATAACAACATGTAGTCAAGGTAGCATCTGCTGTCCTTTTTGCCTCTGGACTCACTTAATACATTGCACATACATGGACCACCGTGAAATTAGTCGTCAGCCAAAAAACATTAACAGAAACATTCAGGTTGATTCTAGCAGATTATCATTCCACGATACACTGGGGTCACTGCAAAGTTGTACGCGGTCAGATGACCCATCCTTGCCTTTATATAAAAAGACAGTTTGAAATTCCCAAGTGTAAGCAGCATTAAATGGCTTGTCTAGATCCCATACGCGGCTGAAGAAGGTATTTTGGTAAGGATGAAGTGTATGACCGGGGTAGGTTTACTATCGTGAACGTGATTTGTTTATCCAGACATCTATATTAGCTGTCATTCTTGACAGAGGCCACCAGAGAACACATACGTTTAAAATGTTTTGGGTCTAATACCAGACTGCAACTCTTTAAGTACGTCTCCCGAACCATGAAATTGGTGCAAGTTTAGACCCCAGAACTCATGATTATATTTCTTGTGTTTCCTAGGATTTTAAAGGCATATCGCCTACTTTGTATATCTTGCTTAACGATACCAGTGTGTATGTGGTAATGTTTTGCATAACTTGGCTGAAAGTCCTAGCGAAACTCACCTCATAAAGTATTTTTTGCTTACATATTGTTTAGCATTAATTACTGCCTATAACCATAAGCCCAAAACTTATCGAGATTTTATTGAGCACATGACCGGAAGATTTTTCAGTCGTAGACACTTATCATATTTGGGCGACCGGAGATTCTTTGATATCAATTCGGCTATCAGCGGTGCAAATTTTGCTCGAGAAATGAAGTTTAAGACCAGTTGAACAGGAAAGAAGTAAGAGGGTTCGAAAACTTCTGACGCAACTGATCAACAGCCGTCAATGCATCCGGATCTTTTCTGTATTTTGATCTCGTCCATGCATCCATACTGTGTTTCTTCAAGCAAAACTTATTCAATGTAAGCGTGCAAAAAACTTAAAAGTTTACGCTCCATGTGCGTTCTGATAAAGCGTGTTACTTCCGATTTTCGAAATGCATCCTGCATGAGTGGGTTGTTGGAAAGACAATAGTCGGCTTACCACCGGAAACAGAGTCAACACCGCCGGACACAACGAATGCGGAGTCTGCTCCTGTTGGCGGATCCAGCTTCGTATTCCTTTCGTTTGTTACGCTGACCTGAGGGTCGTTTGAAGATGCGTCCGTGTTCTCTGTTGTGTCCGTTGACTCCATCAGAAAACGCGCGATAACGGCGGGCAGTTGGTCGGCAGTTCCTCTCTTTCCAGCCAGCTCCCACAGGATTTCGACCTCCTCCACGTAGAGCGGGGAGGTTAGGCTTCCCTCGAAGGTCTGCAAATGACACTAAGAAGGCGGGACGGAGTTCATTAGGGCAATTCCCAGTATCAAGAAGGGAAGTCCATTCAGACAAGCTTGACAGTTTCTTTATGGGAAAAATCTGCAATACTCAAAAGGGCTAGATAGCAATTGGTAGCCAGGCCCCGTATTACAGGGGGCTGGGGAGTTTGTTTACTGGGGCCATTTTGTGGGGTTTCATAATCACATCTGACCCATTTGGCTTCCGTTTTATGGTTGAGGTTAGGATTAGGGTACCGATTAGTGGTTTCCGATTTTCGGGTTAGGGTTATGCCTTTAGGCTTAGGTTTTCGAGTTACGATTAAGGTTTGAGCGTACGATTAATTTTCAGTATTACGGTCAGGTTTTCAGTTAAGACTATGTCTAAGGGCTGCGGTTCCGTTTACGATTTCGGTTAGGGTTAGGGTTAGTGTTGCCCTTAAGGTTAACGGTTAACGTTAAAGGTTGAGGTTAGGGTTAGGATCAGGGTTAAGGTTAGGATTAAAGGTACGGTCGCCGTCCGCTTCCCCATTCCTGGCTAACAACTGCGATCTAGCCCTCAAAGGATGTGCGAGTCTTGCGGGAATTCGAATTCCGAAAGGAATAAGTTTCCCAAGCGCACAATCGAAATGCACGCCACAGTACATTCCGTGAAAGATATCTATGTTGTGAGAAGTTCCCTGGAAGATCTGAGTCACCTCAAAATTCTATAATCTCCAAAGTTTAAGTGTGCCTCCGTTGCCCTAGGGCTTTCCTTAATTTGGTTTCGCACTGCAGAAGTTGCCTTAGTTTCAACGGAGCAAGTTAGAAATTAATACAGGTTGAGAGTCCAGAGCTGTCTGTTTGCGTCGGAGATATGACACACATTTAAATGTCAAGCAGGGAAAATGTGCAAATGATCGTTATCGGAAGCGTCATTTTTGAAGAAGTAAGTGCGATTTCTAATCCAGAACTTCCGAACAGTAAAACGCCTACCACTGAAAATTCAAGCCTGGGCGGGAACTATTTCATTAGGATCCGGGAAATTTTGATCTCCTGTATTACAGATGGCCTTACGCAAAATCCCAAGTGCTTCATACTCGCGCATCGAACCATTATTTCGCACGTGAAGGGTCTATTTTGGAAACAACTGTGTCGAATGAGGTACAATCATCCACCGTTGCTTGCTTGCGAACTGCATATTCGAGTGCATCGGTCATGACTAATTCACTGACAGCCACCTGTTTCTCCCGACACACTGAATATTAGTGACAGTCGTCCGTCATAAGGTGACGCAAATAGTTCACACCGCTCAGGTATAAGTGGATTGTGCTTTTTTCTTCCCGTTTGGGTCATTCGCCATATGAACGTGTGCCTGAGAGGCAGTTTAGCAAGTCGCGATTTAGGTTATTAATGCATACTATATTATAACTACCTACCTGCACTGTTATGGATCGATGGAATTCGATCGGGGTAATTTAAGCACACTCTGTCGTCAGACGACTGTTGTTGTGGTTTAGTCAGACTAACACGTAATCATTGCCTTATCGGTATCATCTGTTCAAGAATCTAAGAAAAACAAAAGTGTGTACTGATTTAACTAAATTTCCCTCAATAGACATGTCTGGAACTGCATGCCTGCCCACATTTACCAACGTTGTTAGCTGCTTCTCAGCGCCTGACGATCGAATAATGTTAGGTTATTATTCATAGATGTAAGTGCGCGTCCATAAGAAAATTTACTAGCTGACCTGATGCTCTTCTGACTGGCAGTGTCTCAGAGCCTCGGTTACGCTGAACCAATGATAGTTTTTGTTTGCTTCAGCTGGTGCTTCTTGAAGACAGGGCCGGCAGGCGTAGACGACCTTGAAGTTAGCCATCATTTTAAAGAGATTCTGCATGACGGCAGAATTTACAGTCGTGACTGCTTTCGGTTCTGATGCATTCCTCGCGGTACAGACAACTGGTAAGGTCGGAACCGTCTTCATGTGGTCCGCATAGGTCTGTATAAAGGAGTCAAGGGAGGCTCTCAGTTCGTTCCTTTTGTGTGTAATGAGGCTGAAAAGCCGCGTGAAGCGCACATGGCTCAGCATCTGACAATGAACGCGGAACTTGTGCACTGAACCAGAGAAGAAACCGCAAGCAAGACATCGAAGTTGAACAAAAGCTGAGGCCTGGCAGGGAACCGAAGACGCAGAGGTGGACGAGGAAGAAGGAGTTGTGATTGTGGAAGAAGAGGAAGAGATAGAAGATGAAGATGTGGAACCACTGGTGGATATAATCTGAAGGCACTTAGTGAAGGCGGAAGAAATGTCAGCTGCCCTAGCCTCTTGGATGCATAACACACCAGTCAGGTCTTGCGTGTTCGGCGGTACACCTTCCCATATGTGCACTAAGAGATTGAGGCGCTGAGCGTGTTTCTCGGTTTTGCAATGCAGCTGGAAGTTGGCCTTCAGGGCACTGCGATAGGCGCATACCCTGCAGTGCCACATACCCTCTGAGTGAGTCGTGACTTGCCGATTGGCAGCCTCTAGGTCAAGCGGGATGCGACTGCGTTCGGCATGCTCTATCAGCACCTCGGGGCTGTCCGTGCAAAAGACAGAGCAGATGAGACATACGAGAGGTTGGCTCATCGTTTCAGCAAGATTCTGAGTTTGTGTGAGATCATAGTCTCCGTGGAGATCGAAGAAGTTCCCAACATGAACCGAGGCGTTTTTCGTGTGCATTGCACCAGCGCAAAGTTGAGATGAGTGTTGTACGGGTCTTCCATTGGTTTTAAGACCATTTTGTTTGAGACAATGAAGAACTGGTTGGAACAATCTATGTCGAACATTGAAAGAGCCATAGAGATCTCCTTCCGAGCTGCTGAATCCCTGAACATCTATATTTGGCGGAGTCTTTCGGCTCGTTGAATAAGAATTCTTTGATTCCTTTTCAAGGGTAGCACCGTCATTAATAGTCTTGTTGTTCTTGAACTCAGTCATAACCCCTGTCGAAGTTTCTTCGAGAGACCTTAGGTATTGCAAACTCTGCTGATGATCATAATCCTAAGTTTTAAAGGAAAAAAGTGATTAGTTCCAACGGTGGTGGAGAGAAAAATCTGTTTATGGAACTGTACACAGGGTGACGTGAAGAGAGAACACGGTAATCTGGGATTGCATAGAACCAAGGAGAATAATTACAGACTGCCTATTTTCGATTTTTTTCGCTGCTGTTCATCAGGCAAGTCGCAATCAGGCGCCGGGAATGTCTGTATGTTGAGTTGACGTTTGTTATCTTGTGAAGAACGAAGTTTCCACTTATGACAGACCAGCCATGGGTCCACGCTGTGTTAATTCAAATTGGGTATACTCGCAGGATTTGGAAGTCGACGCCAATACGATCATGAATACCCGCTGACCACTTCGTACAATATAACGAAGTTCTTGGACTTCGGCTTGGAATCCACGACAAGCGTGACATTTGTGCTCTGTTGCACAATCAGCCGAGATAAGGGCGTAATTCGGCACAGAAGTGGGAAATATACTGCTATAAATTGAGGTAGATTGTGTGGGGTTTTAGACGAATCCCAAAGCAGCATTGTAGGTGCCCGCAATAATACCGAAGGGGCTTCCTGCTTCACTCCCTTTACAAAATATAGAATCATATCGCGGTCACGGCTCTTTATTTAACAAAAATGGCTTCCGATGATACCGCATTAAATGCCATACTTTCTAAGAAAACTGGCTGCATAGGGAAGGGGACTCATTAGTCGACAATACTTGTAAGGTCACCTACTAAATTTTAGCAGCATAAGATGACCGTCGCTCGTAGTTTGATGAAGAAATTAAATCACATTTATTTAAACAGTGAGTTTCTCAATAAATAAACTATGGCAATAAAAAAAACGTCAATAATTTCGGATCTAGGCATTATTCTAAAGTTGAGGTTGCTTATTTTACTTTGTCTGCTCCTGTAAAACAGTCCTAACCAAATTGTGCATACCATTGGACTCGCCCCAATCAAACCACAGCTGAAGTCTACTTTTGACCATGCCGTCTTACCTGCACATTATTTAAGTGCTTGTCCGACTGTTCGTGGATAGCGAGGTTGCCCTTTGTAACGGTGGAGTAATTACAGATCTCACATCGATAGGGCTTGTAACCGCAGGCATAGGATTCGCCCCTACCCAGCCGAGGGTGTGCAACTTTAGCCAGACAATATACACAGTTTTGAGCATCATTGGTTCGATTACTTGGAGAAGAGGAAGTCGTTCTGCTACCAACAAACTGCAGACAATTCTGTGACAAGGGTGTTTTCTCTAGACCCTTTTGGTGATTCTCAATGCTGCTTATAATTTCCTGAGGTAAGAATACCTCTGCGAGGGCAGCAAAAGGCGGTCTTTCCGTTTTTTTGGTGTACTGAGCTCGCATGGAGCCTAGATCGACCACATCCATTGGGCTTGCTGATTCAGGCGGTAGGAGGTCAGCATCGCTTTGCTTGGTTCGCTTTGAGTCAGTAATGGTGATCATGGTTCACGTCGAGCCTGTGTATCCTCTTGTTTTTGTTGGTTAGTATCTAAAATAAAATGCCATCACGAAATTAGTATAACGTTTAAAGATGTTCATCTAAGACCCTCTTCTACATTTTGCTTGGTGGATATCTCATAGTAAAAATCTCACTATATTTTAACGGGACGACGGTCTTCGTGCTTGCTAAGCAGTGAACATTCCTTGTATTTTAATCGTCTGTATTTGTTCCGTGCCGTCGGACCAAAGGCTAACAGATATTACCTGGTTTCCGTGCAACAACTGGTTGGTTTTCCATGGATAATCAAATTATCCAACGCATACAAAGTACAAAAAAACCTTTTTCTGAGACTGCTCCTTGTTGTTCGATAAGTAATGAAAATTTAGTCTACTCAGTCAAGAGCCAAAAAAGGAAGCACTTTATCATTGCTACGGGGAAAGCGTGTCCTTGCTGGATAAATACATTCATAGGGTTTTAGCGGAATTTGAAATACGAGACATTCAGAAGTCCCATGAGCAAAGCTAATACCAAAACCTTGGGACACTCTTCCACGACACTGACGATTGGTTTTTAAAGTGGTCTGATGGCGAAACTTTTGGCTGAATCGTGCGACGGCAATATAGTGGTCATAGAACAATCAGGGGCGAGACAATACTTGAGCTGAACTACCACTGTCGATCCTTACTTTCGGCACATTACTGTTAGGCAAGTTTAGAGGAGGAAAGTGTCTCCTCTCGGAGTGCATAGGGCCGAAGCATGGCAGTAATCGCTTCGTAATTTCCCTTTATTTTATGTCACATTTAGTGAGCGAGACCCCCACCCCATCCCCGCATTAAATCCTCATACAAGCTACAAGTGCTTCTTGTGCCGATGTCTGTGAAGCCATGGCTGTATTGGCTTTGCAGGCCCAGCCGGATTGGAGGATGAATTAGTTCGGGGGTTGAGGCAGGATCAACAGATGTCCGAGTAGACGCGGAGACCACCAGTCCCAGTCACCGTCGCAACTCGCGCAACACGACTATAGTCTGGTCAGTCGGGCGGGAAGCTGTTAACGGTTGAGACGGGTGGTCGAGGAAGGGGACATTTCAAGGGTGGAATGAGAAAACTTATCGTAAAATGTAATTACCCCCTATGCCCCTCCTCCTCCTTCTGTGCCTGCTCCTCCTGCCTGCCCCCTCCTATCCTCCCCCCCCTTCGGCCCGATTTCGAGAGCCAGAAATTAGAAATGCTCATGCGTCGGCACTGACCAATGAAAGAACAAACCGGGGAAGGCGCGGATGAGGGCTTGACAACGTGCGCGCCTGCGCACTCGTAAAAGGCACCACATCTGTTTCGTCGTTTAACTGGATTATCCCAGTACAAATGTCTGCAGCTCCAGGGGGGAGGGGGCGGCCGGCCCAGCGCGACTAATGAAGCCCTCTTGCTAATCAGATTCGGTTTTCCTCGCCCAATAGAGACCAGCTAAGCTAATAATGAGTGGGCGCGAAAACCAGACTTAAACAAAGGGACTGAGAGTAGCACATAGGAGGGAGGAAAGGGGGTTGCGGGGATATGCGTTGACGTAATTGGGAAAGCTGTGTGTGAGCGAGAGGACATTCTGCTACGCTGAGATAGTGGTGGTCGTTGATGTGGTGTTGGGGGAGAGGGAAGCCCGAGACTTCATTCCGACTGTTACACAAGGGACAAACCCGTCTACGGTGACTGAAACTTGTTATCCACGTGGACAGTGGCCGAGGGCAGTCTTTCCTCGCCTTATAACAATTAAGCGCAGATTACCTACCACGAATTAGAGAACAAGAAGAAGACTTCCTGACTTCGAAGAGGATTGTTTGGCTTGCCTGAGCCTTTGGCCCGGAATGAGAAGTAATTATCAGGGAGGAGGATATACTATTTTGCCAAAAATAAACGGAAATGATGCGTAAGGAATTATATCGTGATGCAGCAAGGCGTATTAAAACGGCTCCTTTTTATTGTTACCAGGTTTGAAACGAATACAGTTATGAATTTACGTAAAAGTCAGAAAAGCACGATTCGAAAAAACACTCGTGAAAACTAGTTCTAGCTTTTAAGAATGCTTGGAAGGTCTCAACCTCGGCCTTGCGATTCGGAAAAGATTTTTATGTAAGGACAATATTTCTGATTGAAAGTGTCGATGGTTTGTTTCCGGTTATATAATGAAGCACTGAACTCCTTTGTTACTGGGCTGAAGAATATATGATTTCCCTCTGCGATGGCCGTCTGCCGAAGGACCATGAAGTTAACTATGCAGGTAGAATTGTGAGTTAGGATATGAATGACTGGGTTTCTTTGAGGATCTTGTCAAATTTCATGATCGCAGGGAATCTTATTAAAAAATCTCTTGTCTGTAAAAGTAAGAGGTATTTGTTATGTGTGCAGCAGTATCACAATCGCAAATGGACGAAAAACCAACAAGTTTCGATGGTGTCATGCTGTACTCTAACGGCAATGGCCAGTGGTTGAATGAGCAGCACTAGAAAACTTAATAAAGCTATGATTATTTCATTTTGCCTGTATGGGAGCAACGAGCTGTGGCTACCTCAACTGTAAACCGAGTGACGATATCTAGGACGTTGGACGTGATCAGTCGGAGGGTTGTACTCCAGAGAGCTTTTCGTAGATCTCAATAACACCACAGAGTGCAAATGAATGACACACGGACTAGAATTGTAACCATAAAACATCATTCACTTTAAATTAAATGAAACGAACATCTAGGGGTGGAAGCACACGGTGTTGTAAAGAGATCCTTGAGAGTCATTTTTCGTTTTTTCACTTATGCAGGAGATATCTTATGAAAAACAGATGCCACCACTGTCTCTTCTTAATCGGATATTGACTAGTTCGTCCTGCGAACAACTACAGGAAATTGATTTTTTGTCCAATAAGCCTTTACCGATAGAAGCGAGGAGGTGAGTTCCAGGAACCACATCAGAAGGGAAAGACACGGTCACTGAAATAAGAAGCGCATTCGTCTGATGTCTGGAATTCCAAAATCAGTCATATCCAGAACATGTAAAAGCCCGAAACACAATCAATTAGGTGTAGGCGACAACATGTAAGTGTAAAATGTCATCGTCACAGCTCCGCGAGCCCTGTGGATAGGCAATTTAAATTAAAGACTAATTCATAAAAAATAAGCGATCGCTGAAACAAGAAGTTTATTGGCCCGACGTTTGCAATGCTCACTCAAACCCATCATCAAAGGCATTCGCAGATAATGGTGATGGGCGAACCCCATTGCTAGTGACCCCGCCAGTGAGCCACATCTTCAGGTAATGATCATGTCAAGAACCAGCAACCAGGAAGAAATCGCGGCCATTAACTACTTACATGCGGACGAACAAGCAATTGTCACGCAAAATGCGATCTCGACGACGAACATGCGACTGTTAATTATGATATTCATGTGGTTAGGTGACATTCGCGCCCTATAAATACTGCACGCCCTGTGATTTAATCACGTTTATCTGTGACTGTCTCTGATGAAGGATTCGAGTGAGTAGCCAGACCGTCGGGCCAATAAACTTCTTTTTCCAGTAATCTCATACTGTTCTTCTGAACTAGTCTTTAGTGAAAATTACCTATGCACAGAGCCCACAGAATTGTGAAGATGAAAATTTGCAACTACATGTGACCACCTACACCTAGCTATGTCTCTGTCTTTTAACTCGTTTGGATATTACGAATGCTGGAAAAAATTGACCAGATATAATGATGTTCTCCTTTTTATTGCTGATACTCATTTGTGTATAGTGTCAGATGTTATAGAGCTTGGCCACATGCAACGGCGGTCCTTAAGTGACCTGTTCGAGAAAGACTTGCGATGCAAACATTAGTATCGGTGGGACCTTCGAAAATTCATCCGCAGACAATCCTGGTTTTCCATCAACTGATTTTCAAACCTCATTGTGCATGGTATGTAACGTCTTAAGGGGAAAATATGTAAGCATGCACCCGAAGGAAATAAATGAACACTACTCTTGCGATACTATGTTATTCCTCTGTTATGGTAACTGTTTTGAGCAGCATATTGCTTTACCTTATAAGTGTTTCATCCTTAATTCTTTCCATAGAGACATCAACGAGGATAGCTCAGTCGACCGGACCCGGCCACGCCTTCGAGTTTAGCCAGGCCGAGATTCAGTCAAGGGGTGAGAACCGCTGTGAGCTATGAGCTACTTGAGTCATGTTTCTCCGGCTCAGTCAGTTAGCGGATGTAATGACCTTCCGTCTCCATATCCTGTGCTGAAACTGCGTGGACAATGCAGTTATATGTGGGCGGACGAGGGCTACCAACGATTCCATTGACGGTGGACAAAATTGCAGAGCAATCATCGCGTTAAGAATCAACATTAGTGACGAAATCATGGCCACTAACGACTCTCGTGAGAACTAACGAGTAATAATAGCATCAAGTATGACCCCCAACCACCGACGAGGGTGCTGCTAATTATAGTAGACGTGTGGTGGCATGTAAACTGCAGCCTATAGGTACTGCGCTCATTGTGTCTTCACTATATTTATCGGCGACTGTGCCTGAAAATGGGTTCGAATGAGAATCCGATAAGCCAGTTCAATAAACTTCTTGTTCCGGCGATCGCATCTTCTTCTTCCGACGGTCAGGCTTACCTGTACACTTTCGTGCTTACCTGAAAGTCCGATCATCGCATGCGAAGACGTCCATCATGTGTCCATGGGGTGGGGGCAGCACTGATGGCTTACGAACGATTTATTTTACGGAGAGGTAGATCTGGCGCAGTATTCATCATTCGTTCTACCCCCTCATCCACAAGACTCCGATGAGAAGACAGTGTCATGAAGACTGAAGGTCGGCTCGACCGGAGTGGCTGACAAAGCTAAATAGCCCATCTGCATCTGCCCCACACGACCTAGTCTGCACGGTTCGTACGAAGATGCGTTTATAGGTCATCGATTTCCCCCCTGTCAAGGTAACACATTCGAGTTTTCCAAGTGTCCCGAT